GATGCTTCTCAAAACCTAAGGCAAGGCATCTCAAACAGGCGCATTGGTGCTCGAGCAAAGTATCGAAAGGGGAGAAGAGGAAGGTAAAAAAGAGGGACGAGAGGCTTTGTGGTGTGATCCTTATCTAAGTGTCAGCGCCAAGGTTTTCAACAACAAGTTTTCCTCCTATTGAGCATTCAGAGAACATCAAGCACTACCATCGCGCGCACAAATACACAGCTGCTCAATATGCTAACCGAGATGTTTCACTTTTAGGAGGTGTAACAACCAGCAGAGGGGCCATCTGTGTCTCAAATATCAGGAGGAGATTTACATTATGCCCGTTGATTTATTTACTTCATCACACGCGCCACCACCACGAACACACACAAGTACACACAGTCTGTGGTTTGTATTGTCAGTGCCAAGGTTTTGGCTTTAAGGGGTTTCATTGAGTGTCTTTTGAAAGTAAAAAACAAAAACAAAAATGCAAAGGAAAACCTAATCGATGCAGAAATGCACCCAGATTTTGTTAAGCTCAGTAACTGCCCGCTTCATGACACAGGCTTTACTCATAAATTCTGCTAGCAAGTGCTGGTGTCTTAAAATTGGGGTGTGCAGGTCAAAGAGAACAGCAGGCGTCTCCAAATCCAGTGTGAGTACCCCCCCCAAGTTTATCCAGGGCCCATGTGTCAAACGGAGTAAGGAAAATGGAAAAAAATAATACTAGAGTTTTGGTGGGTGATGGGTGAGGAGTAATATAAAAAAAACTATTCCTTTAAATGCTCCACCCCTTATATTTGAAACAGAAACCCCAAAAAAGGAGCACAATTTATCGTTCTCATGACGTCCTGATTGGTGTCCACAGACCCCACCACAAGGACGGGTGTATTGAGGGCCGGCCTCATTATAGGCTCTGGCTCACTTAATTTTTTTTTTGTTGTTGTTCCCCCACACGAGGCAGAAAAAAAAGCTCCAGCTGGTCAACTCTAAATAAAAAGAAACAAGTGTTTGTAGTGAGCATGAATAATTAGAAACCTGACTGGTCCGTGCGAAGCACTCTCTCTAGTGTCAAGCTCCAGGCAGCTCAAAGGCTGGTCTGCCTGCTTGTTAGGGGTACAGTCAGTGTGTGAGGGTACATGTGTGTGTGTGTGTATAAATAAATGTTAGTTAGTGTGTGAATCTGAATTTGATTTGTGCTGCGTCAGTGTGTGTGGTGTTGGAATGAGTGCATACTGGAGGCACTATATGTGTGTTTGCCCTACACTATAAACACACATATACATTATGAAAGCAAGCAACTGAGGGTGTTTCTGTGTTTCTTGTGAATGTGTCTACTCCCCCGTGTGGGTGTGTGTGTATCTGGATGTGTGGTCTTTGTGCCTCCGGGAATAGCCCTGTGCAGTGTGTGTGCATATGTGTGTGTGTGTGTGTGTGTGTGGGGTTGGCCTTTCTGATCTGCCTACCAAACCAACTCGAGCCCCGTCTTTTTATCCAGCCGGGAGAGGCAGGAAGGAATCCTGCTTAAAACACAAAAACAGACCAATTCAGTAAATAACAGAATAAAGAGAGGAGCAGGAAACCTTGTTTGCCAACTTTCATGGTGTTTTACATGTAACTGTTCCATCGCACACAGGAGCGTAGGCTACTTGATTATTGATTGCTGCAACTTAACTTCCCATCCTCATCCATTTCTTTCCCTCTTCCCTAGTCCTCCTGGACGGGTTGTGCAGAGTGATTGGCAACTAATGAGGCAGGCATGGTTAGGTCAACCGTGGCACGGGTTTGTTTGTGTCTCAGTGTGTTTGTGTGCGCGTGAATGGGCATTACCGACAACAGGCCAACAGACTGCAGCCTGACTGCGCCCCTAAGGGTGGTGATTCTTCACCCCTCTCCTCCCTCCCTTCACTCCTTCCTGCAGCTTTCCTCTCTTTCTGTGCTCTGTCTCCCCGATTGTTTCAAGATGAGTTTGGTTTGCCTGTCCATTCCTCAGAGCCAACATAATCCAGACTTCCTTTTCTTTTGAGTGCAAGTGTGTGTGTGTCTCCGTGTGTGTGTGTTTGTGTTGGGGGTGTGTTTGT